AAAAAAAAAAAAAAAAACCACAACTGCCTGTGCCACCACAGCTGGGCCTCTCCCACCCCAGCGCAGAGCAACACGCCCTGAACCGTGCCTCCATTCTTCCACCCTTTTAAAGATCTCTGGGCCGTGGTCCTTCCTCGCTCATGCCCATGACCCGGTCACCAGAGTCACTGTTCTGAAAGTGCAAACCTGGCCCCCTCCTGGCCCCAATTTATTTTCTGTCACCAGGGACAGTATTCCTTAACCTTTTTCAAAATTTCCCACTGCTCCAGCCAAAATTTAGATTCTCCTACCAATATGACAGTTTCCAAATACAAAATGTGAATACTGAATTTGCTTTTTCAAGGCAAATGCATACTCCATGTCTAAAATTCAAACCCACAGATCGTCAGCAGCAAGGAGCGGGGCCTTCCCTCTCTGCCCACCCACTTCTTCTGGGGGATGCCCTCTGCCCTCCTGCAGGAAATGGTCCAAACTCTTGGCTGCCACCCCCAGAGCCAGGGCCTCCCTGGCTGTTTTCAGGGCCAGGAGGCAAGAGGCAGATTCTCTCTACTGGTGTCTGCCAGAAACCCTTTTCTTCTCTATCTCTTCTTCAGCACAGGAGCCTGCCCCTGCCCCCCCACACACACACGTACGCGCGTGTGCACACACACAGCCCCTCCCTTGGGCCCTCACGTCACCTTCCCTCTCCTCTTTCATCTTCCTTACAGCCCAGCAGCACTCTGCTGCCACGAGCTCCTAGCAGGCAGCTGCTATCTCCAGCATTCTCCTATCCCTTGTGCTGCTACGGGCTCGGGTGCGAGGTGGGTTCTGAGTAAATGTTGGTTGGACTGAAATGCAACCAAGGGAGAACTGGGAAGAGTTAGGCCTGCTTAACTAATCAGCACTGTCTGGGCCCTGGGGCTGGGTCAGAGCCAGAGATAAGCAAGGCCTGAGGGGGGTTCACAGTACAGATTTGGGAGGCAAACCCCGCACAGCCCATGTTAGTGAGGGTGCTGAGTGTCAAAGGAGGTGCATGGCCGGCACCCTGTGTTTGCATCACCTCTTCCTAAAGTGATCTTCTGGCACGTAACCACCTGGCTGCACCCTTCCAGGCCCTCTGCCTGTTGTGAAGCAGAACCCTGTAACAGATGGAGGCTCAAACTACACAATCCAACTGCATAATCCAACCCCAGTTATGGGGAGACAGAAAAGAAGGTGACGCTAATACCCCACGCCACGCATGGCAAAGTTCAGCCTCTCCGCCTTCTCTCCCTCACCTCTTCCCTCAGGAACTCCCTCCCCTGTCCTTACCCCAGGGCCCTCTGCTCTGCTCAGGGGAGCCCTGGAGCTCCCTCTCAGCATCACCAGGTCCATCCTCACACTTCAAATCTTTCCTCAGCAGAGACCTGCCTGGGACTCTGCCTGGGCGGAGGACAGTTGGGGATTGCAAATCATGGAACACGCTTCCTGTCACACGTCATTTTCTCCCCTGTCCCACTAGAGAACAAGTACATGTAACCACTGGAGTATAAAATTGCATTTCTATGGGTTGTTCCTTGTAGCGATAAAAGGAACAGGAGGTCTGTCTGGAGAGTAATAGATGCCCAAGTTGTCTAACTTTTGCTAACATCTGCTTAAGCTCCGTGAGCCCAGAGGAAAGGCAGGTGCCTGCCACTTGCCGCATCATTGGCAGCTGTATGGAAGCGGATCTCCAGGCAAGAGCCATCTGTGTGCCTTGGCACCCACAACCCAAAGTGGTAAGACACTGCAAGTTGTCATTTTCCAGCTGCCCACCATTGTCATGGGTAGGGCCCCCTCCTTGGTGCTGGCCTCTGAAAGCCCCAGCCCCCCCCTCCCCAAGGCAGCTCCGGGCTACATTTACTCTAAGTCCGAAGTCAGAACCGAACTCACCGATCCCTGAATGAGACTCCCCAACAGGAGAAAGGACCCAGTTGTGGCCTTGCTGCTGTTTTGCAGAACAAATGGAGGGAGTGAAAAGGAACAGGACCACACGGAGGGGGGTGAATAAGAGACTGGACCACACCCCACCTGGTGTGTTCAGATAAAGCTCATGACTCAGGGCGGTGGGATTACGGGGAAGCTTATCACCTCTCCACACGCTCTGAACGCTCTAAAGTTCTACATTAGGTATTAAGTGCCGGGATCAATTGTGACAAGAATGGCTTAGAAGGAACAAGGGAGGAGAAGGAGAGAGGTGGCAAAGGCCCTCTTTGTCCATCTCCTAAAACCTCCTTGGCTGGAAGAATCCTTTATCTCCCTGACTGCACCAGGCTCAAGAAGGCCTTAATCCTGGGCATCTCTGATGCATACCTTTTGAAGTCAACCCAGTGAAGCTTTCCAACAAAACTCCTCCAATCTAACAGTTGCTGGGCGATTTCCTCCATGCCTCTGTAACCAGAAATTGGACCGTTGTGGAGTGAATGGACCCAGCATTCTTCCTCACTGACTAGGAATCACACCTATCCCCTCTCACCGGACAAGCAGTTACTCGTCAAGTGTCTACTGATGTCCAGGCGCGGGCAAGAACTGGCTGGGCATGAGAGAAGAGACCTGGGAGAAATGGGACAGAAGTCCCTGCCTGCTAGAGGCCCACAGTCACGTCTGCACTCACGGAAAACACGCATATGAATAAAGCCTACCGTTAAAGTCAGTCCGGCACGGGGTATGCAGTAGGTGGCATGGTAGTTAAGGCCCTGGACTCTCACATGGCCAACCACGGTTCAAGTTCCCGATCTGGAGGCTTGCCTTCTCACTCCCCCCTGCCATCTCTGTCTCTCTCTGGTGAGTACACATGCCCTAC